AAAAGACTGGAGTTGGCTGCTGCATGAGGCGACTTGTGCGTGACCGCTACACCGTTCACAGCATCCTGTGCATGCAACCTGCAGACGACCTGCAGCTTTCGGTCCAGGGCCCTTCGACTAGCATCAGCCGCCGCACTTGGACGGAGCACGTTTTGCACACGTTTGCATACAGGCACGTCCAGGCACAGTCACGCACACTTGCGCACGGTTCGAGGCACGATACAGCTGCTGCATACGATACCGCTCGTACTCGTACCTACATACATACAATCGACAGGTACGGGTGCTACGAAGAGTCCCCTTTGCCCTGCTGAATTGCGCATTGAGCACCGGTGGAGAGCATCCCGTTGTCGCGCCCCAAAAAGAGCGAATAGCGCTCGGCAAGCTGGATCGACGCTTGTCGGAGTTGCGCCGACTGTCGGATTCGAACAAGAGCCCACTGAAAATAGAGGAGAGCCGGGGTCTCGTTCCTGGACCAGTCGAGCTCGTCGTCACCCAGAGCTCACCAGATTCGCTTGATTGAAGCGCGTTTTCCTTCGTTCTCACTCCCTTCAGCGGGATCAAACAAAGCGAAGGAGGATCGCTTCTTCTTCTTCTCCTTCTTCTTCCATCTCAAACCGACATCGAACCGGGGAAAAGATACAAGAGGAACAAAGGGAAAGAAAAATCTTCAGCCGAACAGACGCCAACGCACAGTCGACTAGCATCGGTAGCGATCGCAAAACTACTGGGGTGGCTGGTTGCTTGACCTGCTGGCCTGGCTCCAATATTTCCGTCCGCTTCTCCACCCTCCTACTTGTCTACACCGCAGCCAGAAGCACTTGAACGGGCAAATGGGCAGCTCGACTGCAACCCCCGGCCAGGGGTACCCGTACCAGCCAGCCCAGCAGCAGCAGCAGCAGCAGCGCCAGCGCCAGCAGACTCAGACGCCTCCTCTCTCACCGAGCTTAAGCTTCGCCCCGGATTCCCCGTCAACACCTCGAGCAGCGACGACACTCACAGCAGCCCCGACGCCTCGTGCCACCAGCAATCCTCGCCTCTCCGTCGACCGAAGAGACGCCCTGTACGCTGTGGGACCGGCCTCTCCTCCAAAGAACCACAGTCCTCTGCGCCAGTCCACCACAATCTCCTATCAAGACAACCACGCTGGCCGTCCAGACTTGCCGCCGTTTCTGAAGCCGAGGCACAATACCAAGCTTCCCAGAGGCCATTCGAGGTCCCGATCAGACGTCGCAAACAACGCGACCACCAGCAATACTACTAGCAACATTCCTTTACCAGTCGGGCAAGCCCCCGAAGCATCATCAATCGTCGCCTCGACACCACCCTCTTCGCACCACACTCAAGACTCCCAGAATCCGCCGTCCTCTGCGACGCGTCGCACCTCGCTTGGAGAAGTCGGTCAGGATAGACGCGTGTCCAACCGAAGCGATAGCAACAGCAACAGCAACAACAGCAGCAGCAACAACTCCGCCTCTTCCCCTTCCTCCCCCTCGTCCGTCCGCAGTTCTGCCCTCTCCTTTATCGCCTCCAGGATGCCGGCCATGAAAGCGCTCGCCCCTGCGCCCGTTGCGGTGCCGAAAAGCGACGACGAGCTCCTCAACCTCAATATCGAAGCGGCGCTCTTCCCCAAGGGCGCTCCGCCGGAGGGACAGGCCTTCTCGCCGGCGGCCTTTATGAATCTGCAGCAGACGGCGACCGGCCTGCTGAAGAAGTTTCAAACCGCCTACCACCGCCAGGCGCAGACGATCCAGGAACTAATGGCTGAAAAGGAGGCGCAGGACGACGAAAAGGCCGAGGCCGACACGAGAACGCGACATCTCAAGATGCAGCTAGAAGGCATGGCGCAGAAGCTGGCCGACACCGAGGGCGTGATGCAGGCGCTGATGGAGGAGCTGAACAAGGAGAAGAGGCTGCGGATGGAAGAGCGAGCAAACGCCAGAGACAAGTTCCTGACGCCGTCGGAGGGATCGATATCCGAGGACCTGTGCGTCGAGGAGGACCAGCAACAGCGCAAGCGAGGATGGAGGCGCAGCGGTGAGACTTCCAAGACCGACTTCAGCTTCGAGACGGATGAAGACAGCGTCGAAGCGGCCAGCATCTTCTCTCGCCCTCGCAGCCCTACCAACACGGCGCTAAGCGTCATATCCGATGTAGAAAGCCCTGCGCCGCCTGGCCCGCCGTCGAGGACATCCACCTTTGGAGGAACTGGCCCGTCTCGCGTGATCCGGAGCTCTCAGCCACCGCAGCTGACCACCTTCCAGAAGCTCTTCAAGGGCATCTCCGGAGACCCCAACAAGGACATCAACGGGTGCCGCAACTGCCAGGGCCAGGACGCCAGCATCGCCTGGGACACAGTGGGCCTCCTGAAAGCCGAGAACAAGACGCTCAAGGAGAGGGTCAGCGAGCTGGAGGTGGCCGTCGAGGAGGTCCTGGACGTCGTCAACGGCGTCGGGCAGTAAATCACTCACACGACGTGACTACGACCTCCTCTTTGCATACCCGAGTTCTTTTTTGGCATGTCTGGGTGTCTCTTTTCTTATTTCCTCAGCAAATAGCCGGTGTTATCAAACCCAGTTTGTTCTGGCATGACATTTGGAGTCGGACATCATTTGTCTCCCTTTGATTTTTTTACATTATGACGACCACATTTTCACAAATTTTTTTTCACCTCAACTTTCGTTTTCTTGTTGCATCTATTGATATCTTCATCCCCCTTCGCCTTCATCTCTTCTCTTCTCCCTCTCACTCCCCCCTTTTTTGCTTCTTCTTCTCTTTTCCTTCGTTGTTCCTACGCGGTGTATACGGTAGAAGGCATTGTCAGCTGGGGAACGGGCGCTCTTGAAAGGAAGCGAGGAGGGAGTTCCAGCTGTCGGAGCGTATTGCGAAAGCAAAGAATGAAAAAGAAACTAGCGTTTTATATGAGAGACGTAGAATTATGATAGGAAACATGATTGAATTAAACATTTGCTCTTTTTTTTCTATCTCTAAATTGTTCTGACGTCTACTATTGTCTTCACTTTCAGGGGACGAACAGCATTGTGTCTTTTTGAAATTTTGTGATCTTCTGTATGTGAGCATTATCTATTCTGAGTGAATACTGCGCGTTCAGCCGCGGCATTACCATATCATAGATCAGTTGACCCAAGTATGTAATCTGTATGTAAATTGGTCATTTGGTTCCTTCTGGCCAACGCTTACTCTGACATTATATACACTTTCTCTCTCACTCTCTCTCTCTCTATGCCTCCCAACCCCCTCCCATACAGCTTCTCTCCCGGCAAAGCAATCTTCAGCCCTCTCCCTCTTCCTCCTCCAGAAAACTTCTCTAGTGGTGTGCCTCGCCGTGTCCCTCGCCGTGGTGGTGCTCGTCGTTCAGGAAGAGGTACTCGTAGGTGCAGTATCCGGCAAAGGCCACCGTCGCGATGCCCAGGCCGGGGAAGCCGCTCTTGAAGCGGTTCCACCTGGAAAAGGTGCCCTCGTATCGCCATGCCTCGCTATAACACAGTTCAAACATTGCAAATTGTCAGCCTTCCGTAACTTGTTTCTTTTCGTTCTGCCCCTCCCCCCCCCTTCTGGCTTTCTCCTCTTCGGTTATCATCTCATCTCTTTTCCTGACTCTGTTCGTTTGATTGGGATGGGGGTTCATCTGCTTGTATTCGAGGGGTCTGCCAGAGGACGGGGGGGACAGATTCTAGAATTGGAAATGGGAATGACCAACGCTCTCTCCCAGGGATCGTATCGGGGCTGGCCGGTGGCCTCTTTGAAGGCTCGCATGTTGAAGCCGGTGATGTTGGGCTTGGGCCCGTGGGCCATCCGCAGTGCTCTGTCGGAGGGGGCGCGCAAACCCAGTCAGCAACAATTCAAAGCCCGCCCTTATGGCGCCGAAACAATCCAATTCGCAAAATACCTTGTCGCAAGCATGGTGCCAGTTGGAAGATGATGGTGGTTTCTCGACAAAAGAACCGCTGGAGTGCAACGAACGGCTCTCTCTCGACTGGGAAGGTTCCCGCAATTGAAGCTGCTGGTCCGAGCAGGTCAGGCGAAAGCGGCCGGAATAATGCAGCAGCCGAACAAGTAGGTACCGACTGCTCGTAGCGTATCAAGACAAGACAAGAGGTGCACGGGCCATCTCCGGCTAGTAAGGTATAGCCAGCCAGTGGTGCTTTTTGGCCTGTGGCTTCCGTCACCCTCCTCCAGCCTCGAAAAGACGAACGACTGGAATTGCACCCAGCGATCGTGTCTCTTCATCTTGTCTCTTCTTCCTTCTTGTACTGAGCCGCCCCTCTCTCACCTCTCTCCCTCTGGTGCCGCCGACGGAGCGCTAATCAACGACAGGCAATTATCGACCGCCTCAAAAAGGACAATCGAGACCGCAAACGATCCCGCATCGAGGACAGCAGCCAAGGCGGAGAAAAAGCCCTACGCCAGCACCATTGCCAGGAAAACAGCCTCCCTCTCCCATCGCTTCTCGACGCCTCCTCTCCCCTTGTCTCGAGACAAGTAGAAAGAGAGCTCCCGTCGCCAACCAAAGCTCGAGAGGCCGACAGCGGACTTGCCCCGCGGTCACGAACCAGCTCCCCGGTGCGCCCCAGCCCTCGTGCCCAATGTTCGGACCAGGCCGTGGACATTCAGGATATCCCCCCCCTACGTCACGTTAGAAGCAGCCCAGGAAGCATCCGAAGAAGCAGCGGAGAGATTGCTATTTCCTCCTCGATCGTACGCCTCAGGATCCGCTCAACTGCTACCGCTGGATTGTCGAGCAAGCACATCCGCTCCATCTCCCGCCGGACTTTCCATCGACTCCCCCTCTTCACCGTGATATCGACGTCCGGTTTCACCCTTTCCGGTTTTTTCGGCCTCGAATCCTCCAGACCGGTACTCCCACCCATCTGGCCAACCGGATCAGAGGCTCCAGAGCTAGCCGCAATTTTGCCAGGCCACAGCCACAAGAGACACGTCTCGCTCCGCACATCTCCGCGCCGCCGGCCCCCAATCCCATGCCACCACAGCTCCGGGCCTTCGGCGGTGGGCCCGGCGTCGGCGCGCCTTTCCACCAGCCCGGCTTTTCTTCTCATGGCCAGCCACAGGGAGGACCTCTGGGCAACCAATACCTCAATGCCAACGCCCAGATGAACCCCTTCACGCCCAACAACATCAACTCGTTCAACGCCGCAGCCCTCAATGGCGCCGCCGGCTTCCCCGACACGGGGTTCGGCAGCCAGAGCGCGAGGATGGGCTTCGCGCATGGGCCCAACGCCGCGGCCGCAGCCCTCCAGCAGCCGCAGCAGCAGCACGGCGGCCCGGTGCAGCACAATGCCTTGATGGACCATCCCACAATGCGGACCCAGCAGTCTAATAAGGGCAGGATACGCGAAGTCTGGAAACATAATCTCGAGGAGGAGATGGCCGTGCTGAGAGACATCATTGACAAATACCCCTATGTAGCCATGGTGAGTCTTGCGAGCCCATTTTTGCCATGATGCTGTTGTCATGCTGCTTTAGAGGATGAATCGTGCTGAAACCCAGAAAAAAAGGACACTGAATTCCCTGGCGTCGTAGCAAGACCCATGGGCGGTTTCAGAGGGAAGAGCGACTATCACTACCAGTGTCTGCGGACCAACGTGGACATGCTCAAGGTCATCCAGATCGGCATCACCTTGTTCAACGAAGACGGCGAGACACCGCCAGCGCGGCCCGGCCCCGAGCTGGGACTCAGCGCGGCGACGAGGCGGCACATTGGCCAGGGGCCGTTTCCCTATTCATGGCAGTTCAACTTCAAGTTCTCCCTCAAGGACGACATGTACAACGAGAAGTCGATCGAGTCCCTTCAGCAGGCCGGCATCGACTTTAACCTACTCGAGCGTGACGGAATCGACCCCCACCAGTTTGCCTCCCTGTTGATACCGTCCGGTCTGGTATGCTTCGACAACGTCCGGTGGATCTCCTTCCACGGCGGCTATGACTTCGGATACCTCACAAAGCTGCTCATCTGCACGCCTCTGCCCAACGACGAGGTGGACTTTGACCACAAGATGAAGCTGTACTTTCCCAAGACGTACGACGTAAAGCACCTGATGAAGCACGCCATCCGGCTTCACAACTCGGGCATGCTTACCCCCAACGATCCCGGCACCGCGGAGATACTGCAAAAGTTTGAGCACAAGTCGGGCCTTGAGAATATCGCCGAGACTCTCAAGATTAAGCGTATCGGCTCCGCTCACCAGGCGGGCTCGGACTCTCTTCTCACGGGCAAGGTGTTCTTCCAGATGCGGGACAGGATATTTAACGGCGAGATCCCCGACGATCATCTCGGCAAGGTCTGGGGCCTGGGCATCCCCGACATTGGCCTGCCCATGTCCATGATGGGCCAGGGCGGCGACCAGAACGGGGGTCAGAACGGCAACACGCCCAGCACGCCCAACACGGGCACCGCGCATCTGGCGACGACCCCGGCGCAGAACCACAACACAAACGGCCTGCCCAATATGGGGCCCATGACCCCGGGCGGAGGAGGAGGCGTCTTTGGTAACTTTGCATTTGGAGGGAACGGCAGATAGGGTTCTGCCTGGGCGTCTCACTCATCCAATTATTGAACGACAGCCCTGCTATTTCCTCTACTCTTTCTACCCCCCAGTCGTTTTTGGGTCTCTGTGTTTATAACAACGTTTTTTCTATTCTTGGTCTGTCTTGTGCGTTTCCGTCTTTTCCGTGACTCTTTCTCCGTTGGGGAACTTTGGCTCGCTTGTACTCTTTTGTAGTCGGGAAGTGATGAAGGGAAAAAGAAAGTGGACAAAGGAGTTAAGAGGCTCTACCTTTGCGCCATTGCCGGGGAGAGAAGAAAAAACATCGTGATGGCTTGAAATGGCTTTTTTGCGAGTCTTTTTGTCCCGTCTTGTTTGCTTGACTTGTTGAAGTGCGTGAGGGGGGATTTCAGGGCGACAGGGATCTTGCAAGTCAAAAGGAAGTGAAGAGAGTGAGAGGACGAGGATACTCTATAAGGGGGAGAGGGTCGGTCAGCTCCATCGAACTCGAGAAGAAGAAACAAAAGGGGGGGAGATGGGGGCAGAAGAGAGTGGAAAATTTGAGCTATCACTATCAAACCGCGAGACAAACAAAAACATTATTAGGTGAGGCTGGCTCTCTCTTGCTTTCTACCTTTTTGTGTCCTTTTTTGTCATTTCCGTGTGCTGCTTTCTGTCTTTTTTTATCTCTTTCAGGTATGGGATGATGCGGCAACGGTCTTGAAGGTACCTTTTTGTACCGAAGGGGG